ATAATTTTATCAGCAAGGCTGTTTATTGTGACAGGTCTATAATGATTTTTATTGTGGCAGGTCTATAGTGACAATAAATCTATAATGATTTATACAGTAACAGACGTCTATAATGATTTTTTGCTGCAAAACTGAGCTGCAGATATTTTAGTTTTAAAGAGAAAGAGAGAGAGAGAGGCAGCACAGGTGTTCAAGCAGGTGAGTTCCATCAAGCTGTGTTGGGAAGTATTAGTGTTGTGTTTAGCAAGATTAGCTGTCACGGACAAAAAATAAGGTTTCCGTTCTCGGTTCAATTTCAGTGATGAGGAACCGCCCGAGGTGAAGTTAGATCCTTATTTTCTGTAAATTGCTTCTGGTGGTACACTTTGTTCAGGGCCCAAGGTTGTACCTTCTTACTATTGCCTGAGTCTTTACTATTTATATTTGTGCCTGGAAGATCGAGCTGCTAGCTCTTGGACTCCGCCTTTCTAGCCGTCGGTGGTCTTAATGTACTGACTCACGGCGCTTCCGATTCGTAGTCCTGAGGTTCCGGGTTCGATCCCCGGTGGAGGCGGAGACAAATGGGCAAAAAAAGTTTCTTTCATCCTGATGCCCATGTTACCTAGCAGTAAATAGGTACCTGGGAGTTAGACAGCTGCTACGGTCTGCTTCCTGGAGGTGTGTAACAAAACGGAGGCCCTGGTCGAGGACCGGGCCGCGGGGACGCTAAGCCCCGAAATCATCTCAAGATAACCTCCCCGTCGCCTGTTCATCCTATCACTTGTACCCAGACGCAGTAAGGAGTTATTAACTGTCATCTTGGGTCATCTTGGGTGTGGAAAGTGAGAGGAATTTTTAGAACAGCATCTATATATAATATACATATTATGTATAATATATATTACATATATAATATATTTTTTTTAACCAGGGGAGTGCCGGGGGCCGGGAGGCTAATGCCAGCTTTACGAGCGGGTCGTATTTATTATTTATTTATTTTTATATACAAGAGTTGTTACATTCTTGTACAGCCAGCAGCACGCATAGCGTTTTGGGCAAGTCCTTAATCCTAATTTCCACCGGAATACGACCCCGCCAAATCGTTTCGGCGGTTTATGCCACTGCCGTCGGCGTGGTGGTCCGTCCTCGTAAGGTTTCCCTACGTCAGGAAACTGTCGTACTAAGGTGCCCTTATCCTAACCAACCAGAGGACCCAAAACAGAAACCGGGACAGCATATCACTTTCGCGAGTCGCGAAAGTACGATAATGCATTTTCTACTACGACGATGTTTGGCCTACGGTAGAGTATACGTCAAAATGCGACGTGCTACGAGGAGGACGGGTTGGGTGGTGGGAGAAGGGCGCCCGTGGGAGGCGGCTGGCACACGGGGCGCGGGCAGCGTGGCGCCGCCGGGACAGCAGTGAGGGCGGGAGAGTTACATGGCGGGAAGCAGCCAGGCTCTTGCCCGCCGGAAGACCCACACACAGTTGCTCCTCGCCGCCTGCCTCGCCTCGCCTCCCCTCTGATGTCTGCACCACACAGCGCCTCACCTCGCTACGTAGGGCACACAGCGCCTCACCTCGCTACACAAGACACACAGTGCCTCACCTCACTACACAGGACACAGCGCCTCGCACGTTACAGTGGCCATCCACCACACTCACCTCTCACACCACTCCCCACCCACTTCGGGCAGCAGTGGGCGGAGAAGAGTCAAGTGAGAGGACGTGACAGGGTGGTGGGGGGGGGGGGGCTGTCTATCCACCCAGAGAGCCACACCGCTCCCGACGCTCTTGGCCCCTAACGAGCCCTTCGACAACAATTGAGCATGAGCCTCGTGATCAGTTGTTCTGCAATCTGTTCTCTTAGTCGCACTGTTCTAGAGTCGAAAACATGGGGAGAGGTTATCTTGAGAGGATTTCGGGGCTTAGTGTCCCCGCGGCCCGGTCATCGACCAGGCCTCCACCCCCAGGAAGCAGCCCGTGACAGCTGTCTAACTCCCAGGTACATATTTACTGCTAGATAACAGAGGTGAAAGAATCTCTGCCCATAGTTTCCCACCGGCGCCTAGGATCGAACTGGGGACCACAGGATCACGCGTCCAGTGTTCTGTCCGCTCAGCCACCGGCTTAGGAGGGAGTAATTGGCTCTCCCAGAAGGCGCCCTTCACTCTCACTCCTTGCACGCGAGCGGAAGTTAAAACAGGGCCTATGGAAGTGGCGGTGTGGTGGTTGTGCGTTCCTGTGGCGGGGGGGGGGGGGGAAGGAGGGGGTGAGGTGTGACGGGGGGGGGGGGGTAGGTGTGGCGGGGGTGATGTGGGGGAGTGTCCATCGCCACAGACAACACACCGTCATGAACCAAACAGGTGCCTCCAGGTGTCAGTATACTGAGGCTGTGGCCTCCCTGGCTGGCCAGACCTGGAAAGATGTAAATGAATTTCAGCCGTCATGTGCCAAGAGGGTGTGAGTGAGTGAGTGAGTGAGTGCGTGTGTGTGTGTGAGTGCGTGCTTGTGTGTGCGAATCAAACAGACTAGACAAACAGCTTGGAGTGCATCGTTCATCAGAACACAACCTCCTTCCCTGGTGCTGCCATTTAAATAGCTTGCCACAAAACTAGCGCTCGGAGCATTGACCCGGTGCTCCTAGTCAACACCTACACCCCCGACGACACCACCTACACCCCCGACGACACCACCTACACCGCCGATACCACCACCTACACCCCCGATACCACCACCTACACCCCCGACACCTCCACCTACACCCCCGACACCTCCACCTACACCCCCGACGACACCACCTACACCCCCGACACCACCTACACCCCCGACACCTCCACCTACACCCCCGACACCTTCACCTACACCCCCGACGACACCACCTACACCCCCGACACCTCCACCTACACCCCCGACGACACCACCTACACCCCCGACACCTCCACCTACACCCCCGACACCTCCACCTACACCCCCGACGACACCACCTACACCCCCGACACCTCCACCTACACCCCCGACGACACCACCTACACCCCCGACACCACCTACACCCCCGACGACACCACCTACACCCCCGACGACACCACCTACACCCCCGACACCTCCACCTACACCCCCGACACCTCCACCTACACCCCCGACACCTCCACCTACACCCCCGACGACACCACCTACACCCCCAACACCACCACCTACACCCCCAACACCACCACCTACACCCCCAACACCACCACCTACACCCCCGACACCTCCACCTACACCCCCGACGACACCACCTACACCCCCGACACCCCCGACGACACCACCTACACCCCCGACACCACCTACACCCCCGACACCACCACCTACACCCCCGACACCACCTACACCCCCGACACCTCCACCTACACCCCCGACACCACCTACACCCCCGACACCACCTACACCCCCGACACCACCTACACCCCCGACACCACCTACACCCCCGACACCACCTACACCCCCGACACCACCTACACCCCCGACACCACCTACACCCCCAACACCTCCACCTACACCCCCGACACCACCTACACCCCCGACACCACCTACACCCCCGACGACACCACCTACACCCCCGACACCACCTACACCCCCGACGACACCACCTACACCCCCAACACCACCACCTACACCCCCAACACCACCACCTACACCCCCAACACCACCTACACCCTACGCACATTCCATTCATGCGTGTATGTTGGTCAGCATTGTTAAAGCACTCCAGTCCCCTGGGGTTGAGTGCTCACTGGTGGTAGGGATAAGACACGAGTTCCCTCACTTGAGGGTTTACCCGTGAAAGGTCTCGAGAGTTCCTCTCGCAACCCATATAAAGGGGGAGAGGGATTAATCAACAGGTCCACGACACTGGGGTTGCCACCACCAACAGGTTAACTGACCAGGCTGCTAGTCCCTCCCCCTAAATTTGGGTCGTGGATCCAACCCACGACGTTTGCGTGCATTTTTAATGTGGTACACACGCACACGCACGCAGGCAAGCACTTAGCGAAGACGGTAATTTGAACTCCTCTCTCTTCCCCTCCTTTTTCCCGCCAGGATAAATGTGAAAAATATGTTGCATTATATCAAATTCCTGCGCGTCTGGGGACTTGTAATGGTAGGGGCTGGGGTCACGTCCTCGGGCCACGGAGGATGTCCGGTACGTGGACGACAGATCCGCACCACCACGGTGGTGTCACTGTCTGTCTCACCACGGTGGTGTCACTGTCTCACTACGGTCGTGTCACTGTCTCACCACGGTGGTGTCACTGTCTCACCACGGTGGTGTCACTGTCTCACCACGGTGGTGTCACTGTCTGTCTCACCACTGTGGTGTCACTGTCTCACCACGGTGGTGTCACTGTCTCACCACGGTGGTGTCACTGTCTGTCTCACTACGGTGGTGTCACTGTCTCACCACGGTGGTGTCACTGTCTCACCACGGTGGTGTCACTGTCTCACCACGGTGGTGTCACTGTCTCACCACGGTGGTGTCACTGTCTCACCACGGTGGTGTCACTGTCTCACCACGGCGGTGTCACTGTCTCACCACGGCGGTGTCACTGTCTGTCTCACCACGGTGGTGTCACTGTCTGTCTCACCACGGTGGTGTCACTGTCTGTCTCACCACGGTGGTGTCACTGTCTCACCACGGTGGTGTCACTGTCTCACCACGGTGGTGTCACTGTCTCACCACGGTGGTGTCACTGTCTCACCACGGTGGTGTCACTGTCTCACCACGGCGGTGTCACTGTCTCACCACGGTGGTGTCACTGTCTCACCACGGTGGTGTCACTGTCTCACCACGGTGGTGTCACTGTCTCACCACGGTGGTGTCACTGTCTCACCACGGTGGTGTCACTGTCTGTCTCACCACGGTGGTGTCACTGTCTCACCACGGTGGTGTCACTGTCTCACCACGGTGGTGTCACTGTCTGTCTCACCACAGTGGTGTCACTGTCTGTCTCACCACGGTGGTGTCACTGTCTCACCACAGTGGTGTCACTGTCTCACTCCACGTCGTGGCTGGAAAGCTTCGTCGAGGACTGCTCACAGGAGGACGACCAAGTGGAGGGCAGCCCCGTTGTGGACGACCAAGTGGAGGGCAGCCCCGTTGTGGACGACCAAGTGGAGGGCAGCCCCGTTGTGGACGACCATGTGGAGGGCAGCCCCGTTGTGGACGACCATGTGGAGGGCAGCCCCGTTGTGGACGACCAAGTGGAGGGCAGCCCCGTTGTGGACGACCATGTGGAGGGCAGCCCCGTTGTGGACGACCAAGTGGAGGGCAGCCCCGTTGTGGACGACCAAGTGGAGGGCAGCCCCGTTGTGGACGACCAAGTGGAGGGCAGCCCCGTTGTGGACGACCAAGTGGAGGGCAGCTCCGTTGTGGACGACCAAGTGGAGGGTAGCCCCGTTGTGGACGACCAAGTGGAGGGCAGCCCCGTTGTGGACGACCATGTGGAGGGCAGCCCCGTTGTGGACGACCATGTGGAGGGCAGCCCCGTTGTGGACGACCATGTGGAGGGCAGCCCCGTTGAGGACGACCATGTGGAGGGCAGCCCCGTTGTGGACGACCATGTGGAGGGCTGCCCCGTTAGCGATGACTCGTTACGAGTTCATCGCTTTTCCCGGAGCGATGAAGGTTGGAATATAACATGAGCGTCTTGTCAGATGCTGGCTGGAAGATTGTCCTTACGTCGGGTTTTGAGATGGATTATACCGATAGTATTCAGAGTTGAAAATGGAGCCCACAGGCGGCTGTTAAAGAGGCAAGATCAGAGGTGTCGGGGAGAATATACGACTGGTACTCACCTAGTTGTGCTTGAGGGGGTTGAGCTCTGGCTCTTTGGTCCCGCCTCTCATCTGTCAATCAACTGGTGTACAGGTTCCTGAGCCTACTGGGCTCTATTATATCTACATTTGAAACTGTGTATGGAGTCAGCCTCCACCACATCACTGCCTAATGCATTCGATTTACTAACTACTCCTGCACTGAAAAAGTTCTTTCTAATCTCTCTGTGGCTCATCTGGGTACTCAGCTTCCACCTGTGTCTCCTTGTGCGTGTACCACCCGTGTTAAATAATCCAGCCTTGTCTACTCAGCTGGGCATCTGACAGCTGAGTGGACAGCGCTTCGGTTTCGTAGTTCTGAAGTTCCGGGTTCAATCCCCGGTGGAGGCGGAGATAAATGAGCAAAATGTTTCTTTCACCCTGTTGCCCCGGTTACCTAGCAATAAATAGGTACCTGGGAGTTAGACAGCTGCTACGGGCTGCTTCCTGGGGGTAGGGAGGGGTAACAAAAAGGAGGCCTGGTCGAGGACCGGGCCGCGGGGACGGTAAGCCCCGAAATCATCTCAAGATAACCTCAAGAAGAACCATGTTAGTTCGCCAGCAGGAGTGGACTGGTACTACTACACTACCACTACCACTACACTACACTACCACTACCACTAGGGTAGTGGACACTACCCTAGACATAGGTAGAGAGCGGGGAGGAGGAGCTGCCTCAGGTGTGGGAGTAGTGCCCTAGACAAGGGTAGAGTTCTCTGGACACATTTAAGAGCCCAGTAGTTGGCGCAAGTCCTAACGATCTCCTACTTACCCTTCACATGAGGAAGATGGTTGCTCGTGGCAGGGAAACACACGGCACCAGTCTAAGATGGCTACATTCTCACACTCTCGTTTCTTGCTCTCTCATTAAGGAATTTAATGTACACTATTAACATTAATCTTAGGGAAGAAAGAGAATCTTTCTTAAACCCGACAGTAAACGATTTTAGCAGCGCCGAGATGTTAGTTGCAACATGGCAATGGTGCCGCCGCTGCCAGATATGTTCTATTAGAGCACTGTGTTGTAGGATGGTGAGAGCAACACTCTGTCTCTCTCTCTGTCTCTCTCCACTCTCTCTCTGTCTCTCTCTCTGTCTCTCTCCACTCTCTCCACGCAGCCAGGTTCCTTCTCATCGCCCCAAACGCCTCAGTGTTTCTCGCTCACAGGCGAAATTTCAACATTCTTGGAAACTATAACTGGAAATAGCGTGTGTTTTGGGCCGTAATACACACGCTCAGCGATATATGAACGTGGCCAAAACTCTGCAATTATATCCAGTTGTAGCGTTAATACGGGAGGCAGGTGAGGTGTTTGTGAACCCGTCGCCGCCTTCCCTGGCTGCTGGGTGTTGAGGAGGTGCTGGTGGTGGTGGACCTCTCACAGCTACATCAGTAAGTAGGCAGGACATGGTATGAACCCGTCGCCGCCTTCCCTGGCTGCTGGGTGTTGAGGAGGTGCTGGTGGTGGTGGACCTCTCACAGCTACATCAGTAAGTAGGCAGGACATGGTATGAACCCGTCGCCGCCTTCCCTGGCTGCTGGGTGTTGAGGAGGTGCTGGTGGTGGTGGACCTCTCGCAGCTACATCAGTAAGTAGGCAGGACATGGTATGAACCCGTCGCCGCCTTCCCTGGCTGCTGGGTGTTGAGGAGGTGCTGGTGGTGGTGGACCTCTCACAGCTACATCAGTAAGTAGGCAGGACATGGTATGAACCCGTCGCCGCCTTCCCTGGCTGCTGGGTGTTGAGGAGGTGCTGGTGGTGGTGGACCTCTCACAGCTACATCAGTAAGTAGGCAGGACATGGTATGAACCCGTCGCCGCCTTCCCTGGCTGCTGGGTGTTGAGGAGGTGCTGGTGGTGGTGGACCTCTCACAGCTACATCAGTAAGTAGGCAGGACATGGTATGAACCCGTCGCCGCCTTCCCTGGCTGCTGGGTGTTGAGGAGGTGCTGGTGGTGGTGGACCTCTCGCAGCTACATCAGTAAGTAGGCAGGACATGGTATGAACCCGTCGCCGCCTTCCCTGGCTGCTGGGTGTTGAGGAGGTGCTGGTGGTGGTGGACCTCTCACAGCTACATCAGTAAGTAGGCAGGACATGGTATGAACCCGTCGCCGCCTTCCCTGGCTGCTGGGTGTTGAGGAGGTGCTGGTGGTGGTGGACCTCTCACAGCTACATCAGTAAGTAGGCAGGACATGGTATGAACCCGTCGCCGCCTTCCCTGGCTGCTGGGTGTTGAGGAGGTGCTGGTGGTGGTGGACCTCTCACAGCTACATCAGTAAGTAGGCAGGACATGGTATGCAACTAACGTTGAAAAGTGTATAAAATGCACTGGGTACAGTAGCTGTGAGACAGGTTACAAGAGCGAGCGCTTTCTCTGTCTCTGTCTCTGTCTGTCTCTGTCTGTCTGTCTGTCTGTCTGTCTGTCTGTCTGTCTGTCTGTCTGTCTGTCTGTCTGTCTGTCTGTCTGTCTGTCTGTCTCTCTGTCTCTCTGTCTCTCTGTCTCTCTCTCTCTCTCTCTCTCTCTGTCTCTCTCTGTCTGTCTGTCTCTCTCTCTCTCTCTCTGTCTCTCTGTCTGTGTCTCTGTGTGTATGTCTCTCTCTCTCTCTCTCTCTCTCTCTCTCTCTCTCTCTCTCTCTCTCTCTCTCTCTCTCTCTCTCTCTCTCACACACACACACACACACACACACACACACACACACACACACACACACACACACACACAATACTTTTCTTCACTCGCTACCAAGAAAAAAACTATAAATGTTTTCGTGTTTTTTTTCTCTTGGTTCTTCGTCTTCCGTTACTTTGTTTTTCGCATTTCCTCTGCTGTTTGTTCATTTATTTTTGTATGTTAAATTCTGCTAAATGATTTATGTTTATCATGACCTTTTTTCTGAATCTTAAGAATAGTTTCCTACTTGTCATTACATAAGTCTGTCCCTCAGTAGTGGCATAGATTACAGTGTCGGTTTTCTATGGGACATTGTGTCTCTGTATTGACCTGAGGCCAGATTCACGAAAGCACTTACGAATGTTTACATCTTTTCTCAATCTTTGGCGGCTTTGTTTCCAATTATTAAACAGTTAATGAGCTCCGAAGCACCAGGAGGCTGTTTATAACAATAACAACAGTTGTATGGGAAGTTTTCATGCTTGTAAACTGTTTAATAAATGTAACCAAAGCCGTCAAAGTTTGAGGAAAGATGTACACGTTCGCAAGTGTTTGCGTAAGTGCATTCGTGAATCTGGCCCCTGAAGCTGGGGAGGGGGGGGGGGGCAGGGATGAATGTTGGAGGAAAGGGGGGGGGGCAGGACTATGATTGGGTGTATGAAGTCGTGGAAACACACACCTGTACAGACACCAGGTGTGCTCTGCTGACACAGCTGCCCCACGCCAGGTCATATGTCATAATAAATGACATCAAATTTGAATTACGACATATAATAATTCTTTTTTAATCGTTACAAGTTTCAGTGTTTAATAAACTATTGTTTTTAACTGGAAAAGGTTAAAAAATATGCGACGAGGCTCGTTCGGGAATTCCGACGCATGGGATATGAAGAACGACTGAAAGAAATGAACCTGACGATGCTAGAAAAAAGGAGAGAGAGAGAGACATGATAAGAGACTATAAAATACCTAAAGAGATTGACAGAAAGGAAAACAGATGAAATGTTCACACTAATTACTAGTAGAACAAAGGGGCATTGGTGGAAGCTTGTGGCTCACATGAGTCACTGAGATTTTAGAAAGCTTTAATATAGCGCAAGAAAAGTGGTAAATGGAATGAGTTAAAGGAGCAAGTTGTGGACGCAAACACCATTCATAATTTTAAAAGCAAATAGGACAGGAGTCATTGCTTTAAACAACCGGTGGGTAGAAAGGCGGGGTTCAAGAGCTAATGCTCGATCCTGCAGGTACAAATGGGTGAGAACACACATACACACGTACCTCTGCACCTACGTACAGAAGAGTTAGGGGAGACATGATCACTACCTACAAAATTCTCAGAGGCATTAATAATGCTAGAGATAAACTGTTTAACACTGGTGGTACGCGGACAAGGGGACACAGGTGGAGACTTGAGTACCCAAATGAGCCACAGGGACGTTAGAAAGAACTTTTTCAGTGTCAGAGTAGTTAACAGATGGAATGTATTAGGCAGTGATGTGGTGGAGGCTGACTCCATACACAGTTTCAAGTGTAGATATGATAGAGCCCAATAGGCTCAGGAACCTGTACACCAGTTGATTGACGGTTGAGAGACGGGACCAAAGAGCCGGAGCTCAACCCCCGCAAGCACATCTAGGTGAGTACGCCTGTGTCCGTCCCTGCCCGTCCTGGTGTCGGCGTTAATACACAACAAGTGCGATAAAAAGTGTTAAAATGACTAATTAAACCAGTTATAATTACACAAGTGCAGGAAGGGAAGATTTTCAGCAGTGGTGACCCGCTTAAACCCCCCCTCCTCTCCCCCCTCCCCTCCCCCCTCGTTCCTACCTGGGCGCGCTAATTACCTCTCAACATTAGCGTTTTCAACACATTTCTTTTTAAAGTTGTGGATGTAATTGTCTTCAAGTACCTCTTCCTTCAATATATTTCACTTGCCGGCCACCAGGACAACGAACGAGGACCTCCTTACAGCGTGTCCACCCTCGTGCCGCTACCTCTTTTGTTTATATTGTCTTCTTTTATCCACTTTATCTATTCCCCCTCAAGATCTTGTATGTAGTTATCATATCCCCCCTGTGTTTCCTCTCTCTCCTCTTAGGTTGTGAGACTGAGCTCTCTTAACCTGTACTCAAGTATGTTACTAATCAAGTTGCGAA